CACACACACACACACACACACACACACAGCAGTGAACAGACGGTAAATAGTCTTGTTTAGTGAGGTAAAGGCTGAGTACTTTTCTTGTACCTGTCAGGGGGTTGGGAGAAACAAGGGATAGTAACACATGCTTAGACACAGATACACACCCACACCCAGGAAGTAAACTGTGATTGTTACAGACAGATGTTTTTCTAGGTGCCCAGGAGGAAGCTGTCTGTCTCACTTTGTCTGCCAGGGAACATGAAAGAGGAGGAGAGGAAATGCACACCAACATGCACACACAGACAGACACACACTTTTGCATGCTCACTAACACACTCTTCACCTCTCTCTGCTCACAGACACACACACACCAGAGATTGCCACTGTTGCCACAGGCTTTTTTCCTGCAAAATCACAAGTAAAACGAAGCGCCATAGGCATGCCTCAGCTTAAAGAGCAATTTTCACTGTACTCGGGGTGAGACTTGAACAACAGCCAGTATAGCTTTAGGCAGAGAGGAGACTAGAGGAGAGGAGAGAGAAGAGGAAAAGCTCACCGCCATCGATTGGGTGCTTGCCGTTGTAAACAGGATCCTTTCCGAAATCCATGGGCCTGGGGTCTGTTTAAAAGACAGAGCAGCAGTATTAATCTCAACCATCCAGTCAAGCCAGAGCTTTTTTAGAGTCTGCACGCCGTGATAACATCTCTCCATCTCTTCTGTTGTCAGCACACAAGCTGCATTTGTAGATGGAAATCAAACTACACAAACAGCTCAAAGAGGGAGTGATCTGGTTGAAGCTTTTAAAAGAGATCAGGCCAAAGATTTCCACTAAGCCATTTTGTTCTGTGCTCAGTCTATCAAGGGGAAATAACCAAACATTTCAGCCACACTACACCTGCATAAAACCGGCAAGTTTCATTATGTGATAAGCATCAGTGCTCTTTTTTTATTTGCTTGAAAATGAAAAGAGTCAAGAGAATGAGCTGCAATGTAGGGAGGAGCGAGAATAGCTGCGTTTTTACAGAGCTTTTCACCACTTTAAGTGCTTTACACACACACATTCATACAGCACTTCTCTATTAGACACACACTCAAACACAGATGCTATATTGGGGGCAATTTGGGTGTTCAACACATGGACCGGAGGAATCAGGAATCCGATTAGTGAATAACCCGCTCTACCTCCTGAGCCACAGAGAAAAGCAAAATCACACAAAAACAGTTTCATAGAAAAATATCACCTTTATTACCTTCACATTCCCCCACAACATTTTCTTTTTTATCCCAAGTCAATGGAATTCAACAAGCTAAATCACCTCTTAATATCTCTGAGGCAGGCCACGGTGCAAGGCTGTGAAGGGTTGGGAGGCTCAATTCTGCTTCAATTCAGTTTTATTCAAGGAAATTGCTATTACAGTCCCCAGAAAAAAAGAAAAAAAAACTGAGCAATATCTGGGCAGCTGATAACCATTTATTGCAGGGGCAACGTTACCAAAAACACATTATAAAGTGAAACCATATTCAAAAGATAAGAGGTGAAAAACTAATTTGGTAGATATGAAAGAAAGATACAGAGACTCATTTCCTCAGTACGGTAAGGTCATTTTTCTATGAGACAATTTTAACATCACCGCATTATACCATGAATAAAGAGACTTTACAGACTTCCAGTACTCTTCAGACTGTAAATAATATAACAGATTAATACTTTTAAATAACACCTGCTGTCGCTGAAATAAATATATTTGCTGATTAAAAATTTAAATTATCTAATTTCCTTGAAATCAAAGAAGTGATTCAGTGAATCATAAAGGATAAAAGAAACAAACGGACTCAATTTTATTTCAATTAAAAACCAACAAATCCCTATACCAACTGCAATATATTCAATAAGTGGTTGTTGAACATTTACTTTTATTAAAGTCTTATTATTTGATTGTATGTATGATTCCTTGATTGATATAATTTCTCTCCATTTGTTTATTTTTACTTTAAGTGCATAGTAGTATAATCCAGCGCAAGTCAAAAAGACAATCATTAAGTCGAGGGGTCTCCTTCACACAGGCAGAGAAAGTGCACAACATTAAATGTAACAGTGATGTGGCTGAAGCCAGGGATAAAGGCTTAAGCAGATAAACACTCCACTCTGGTTTTTATTCAGTTTGAGTGAGGCTAAAATAGTCAGAGTTTGAATGAAATCTGACTCAAGTTCATCCCTCACTGAGGCCACATTTCAGAATGATCAGTCTTTTCTTGCTTTTAACAGATTTATAACAAGAAATAATCTTTCTGATTAATTCAAAAAACCTTCATTATAAGAAAAGGAAATCAAAGAAAAACAGCAAAACAGTTCATTCAATTGATTTAAAAAATGACATCATCAAGGTAGATTTTCCTAAAATTCAGTATGAAGTTATAAGATCTGTGATTTCACATCAACCAAACTGAGAAAAATGAAAAAATGAGAGACAAGAACCAAAACATCCATCCATTATACCAACTATCTATATTATTGAGGGTTGCCAGGTAGGGGCTGAGAGACGGGGTTCACCCTGGACGGGTCACCAGCGTTTCACAGGGCCAACATGCAGAGACAAACAACCATTCACCCTCACACATACAGACAATTTAAATTGGCCGGGATTCGAACCCAGCGCACTTCTTGCTCTGAGGTGACAGAGCTACCCACTATGACAGACAGACTGACAGACAGGCAGGCATATCAAAGCATGCAATAGAACTCCAGAGCGGCCTGCAGATGTTGACCATGTTTTTTAATAAAATGGGCAGTTGTTTTAAACTAACAGTTTTACGACATAAGATGATCTTGTCATGTTGTTTTGTGATAAAAATGCAGTTATTCTGAATTTACTGTTCAAGCAGATTATCTTGTATCTAATTAAAAACCTGCTCAACTTCATAAAGCTGATCCCTGTAGTCTCACTGTTAATAATATGACTGGATAGAGGTCCTATACTAAACATGATCTGCATGTAAGACTTGAAGCATCTATTCTGTCTTCTTCTCCTCTGATCTCTATGCAGTCTCACTGCAGGCCCTCTAAATTCTCTTTATACGTAGTCAACTGAAATCACTGCAGGTCTTGACTAAACATTCAATTACAGGCGGAGAGGTAGCAGAAGAAGCAGCATTTTAAAAAGAAGAGAGAAAGAGAGAAGCTCGGACACTCTTTTGGACGACCACTTTCTAATGATCCTGACTTGAAACCCTCAGGCGAGGATCCTGAGAAGAATCATCATGTGAATCTGAGAGGAGATTAAAACTCCCCGTAGCCCCATTTTATCTCCACTCTCCAATTAGTAAAGAGGAGAGTATAAAAAGGGGGCTCTTTTATTCAGGCATAGACATGGATGGCTCTTTGGCACCATATGCAGCGCCAGTTGGGGCCCAAGGACCTGTTAGTGCTTTCACTTGTAATATTTCTCAAGGAAACAGGAGGAGGAGGAGGAAAGAGAAAAAAAGTAGAGATGGCCTGTGGGCTAGAAATGCTTACTGCAGGGTTTTATGAACGCAATCAGCTCCATTAACTAATTAGAAATATTAAAAGGCTTCAAAGTAGTCTATGATGGGGAAGGGAGAGGGAAGGGAGGGAAGCTTGATTTAAAAGTGCCGCATGAGGAGATGCCAGCACATTTTCCAAATCTTGCAAAAAGTTTGATAGAGAGAGAGAGTGGATGGAAAAGAAAAAGTGCATGGGCAGCACAACATAAATACTGTCATATATCATTCCTGTATTTGAATTTTCAGACCCACATTGATTGGGTTACAGCAGCGGGCTGTTAGAATGAGTCACATAATGTGTAAATCATACGCAAGTCGATTGAAATGGGAGGGAGAGGGTGCCAGGGAGGCAGAAAATGGATATGCAGCACAAAAAAGTAAAGTGCCTGTTGACTAAAGCACAAAACAGAATATTATGAGAAACAATATGATAAAGTAAGTGAATGTGTACAGTGTGCAAAGATTTGACTCCGCATTGGAAATCTAGATTCTCTGCTTACGCAGGTTTGTGTGTGTGTGTAAAATATGTGTGCAGTGCATGTTATGTGTGTCTCCATTATCCGGTCTGTTCTGCCAAAAGACCTCTTTCATCTGCTTTTGTGTTTGAAACAACCTGCCCTCCTCCTTCCATCACTCGAAAACCTTGCAACCTGCCTCTCTGTTTGCCTTCCCAGTAAAGGGGAAAAAAAATCTATCTTTAGAAAGTATATAGAGAGCATTTTTTTCCCTCCTTTTTCTTTCATCTCACTCCATCTCTGGACGCATTGTTTGGAGGTAAAAGGGGGCTTGCTTAATAGGCCCTTTTCCTCCAAGGGATTTTGCTCTCTCCTTCTCTGCCTCTCCTTTTCTCTCGTGTTTTTTAGTACGAAGATTTGCGATGGCGGGTATGAGTAGAATAGAAACAATGGGTTTGGATTGAACAATATGAAAAGAAAAAAAGGCTGTGGGATTCGGGCATGAACCAAAATGATATATATATACGAGAGTATAAAACCCAAGATGGTGATTTGTCAAGAAAACAAGAACTATACAGACTATTTCACAGGAGTGGATCTGAATAAAAGTTTCAGGTCATCTCAATCCAAAACAAAGAAAAGTAAAAAAATGTTTTCAATATAATCAATATTTTACATATTGATTTACTTTTGTGGCCTATATGGATTCAACATGATGCTTTAGATAACAAGCACACATTTGCTATTGCAAAATGGTTTAAACTTGAGGATCTCATCCCAAACGAAAGTCAAAAAACTTGTTAAGATCATCTCAGTGAGCACAATCAACAAAACTGTAGCCTTACAACAAAAGTCAGTAAGTATAAAAATAAACATAGTTGAACTATTAAACATCAAAAATACACGTTGACCTACTATGATTGAGATTAGAAAGAAAAACAATGGTGTTTAACTCACCACTGGTACATTACTCAATGACGTAAGAATAAGTCAACCAATCAACCTTCAATAAGTCAACATTATGAAGAAAAGTGCTAATGTTAAATTCAACATTGCAAAATCATTTGTAAAACAACTTAACAGAAGTGCATCAGGTTACACTGGACTGAAATCTTTCAGGTAAACTCACTTTCTGCAGAGCAATATGCAGCTCATGCCAAGATATAAACATCTGAGTGAACAAGAACACGTGATTTATAAATAAAAACACATAGTTTAGAATAGTTGTCTGACAGTATCGGTGAAATGGAACCATGTCTAATTTAACAGACTATGGTGAATAAAAGGATCAATAATAAACCGAGCTGTGAATAAGTTATTTCCTGAAAAAGCTTCATTAGTAAGATACTCTTTGTCACAGCATGTTTGGTCTCACCTGTTGAATAGAAGCAAAACTGGCAATTTGGTAACTTTTTTTTTTTTTTACGTTACCAGACCAATCTGCTTAAAAGTATGGATCTGTCAGAATAACACTCAAAATGTAATGATTGAGCACAGCATAAAAATGTTTTTCTCACATGCAGAGACGAGAAAAACTACAACAGAGTTTTATGGCCAAACAAAAAACCTTAGGGTTCGACAATAAAGTATATTCTGACTTTACTCTTAAAATCTAAGAATTTTTGGGTTAATAAAGTCATGATTTTAGGCTATGTGTCATTTCACAGGGGGAACATCAGAGGATCAGCCTGACACTGCGTTTACATGAGGAATCTGGAGCATCTTGTTCACTTATACTTATAGAATAAGTCTCACTAAACAAAATACATCATATTTTGGCTCATCAGCACCAGGACTTAGAAAAGATTTTTAAAGACAATGTCTATTTCGGGGAAAAAACACCAACAGCGAGTTTTTATAAAGGGGAAAATATTTGGTTTATCGTTACATCGCGATTCAAAGAGGTTTAGTTGTTTTGGAGGAGGGAATCTCAGATTAGTTCCAGTTCTCATGCCAGCTTATTTCCTAAAAATCCTCGTAATGTTTAACAGAGTTTTTCTTGTAATGTTGTGACTTTATTTTTATTTCTTGAAATTTTTTTTTCACTAACGTGGCCCTAATACTCCGTTGTAGAAAACATACCTGCGCCTTTAGATACTCAATATCATTTATCATTGTGTTTTGTTTAGTTTCCTTCACTCAGTCTAACGTATGTGCAGGAGTTACTAAGATGTTTAATTTGATCATCAACAGAAACAGGAATCAGATTATCCATGTGATAATCAACCAGGCAACAAATCTCACACTGAGGCACAACCTCGTTCTGGAGGTGAGGAGGTAATTGTTTTAAAGCACGTTTAAAAAAAAAAGGCATATCAGGATGTTATGACAAACACACTGACACACTCTGACACGCAGGATTTGAGAAGTATTGAGGTGTCCGTGCATACAGTAAGTGTGTGTGTTGCATGTTTGGATGCAGTGTGTGAGTGTTTGTCTCATCCTATCTTTCCTTTGCGTAAACGCAGGCACAACACCGACTCCTCGCTCACACACCAAAGAAGCTGCACACACGCTGGATGCGTGTAGCTGTCTATCAGTCACAGCTGGACAGGCAGAACTAATTCTCCCTTTACCTCTCCCTTTTCTCTCCTTAATCTGTGTCACTCGCAGTCCCTCAAAGGCCAGCGAACAAATAAACTGCAGCTTCATTCAGTCCCAAAGAAATAGCCTTCTCTTTTGATGCAGCACACACTGTGTCTTCTCTCACCCTGTACCTGTGTGTAAATCCCTTCACTGTCAGACAAGGTATTTGGAGACAGGCAAGTGTCCAAGCTGCAGACCCGAGCGGTGTAGAGAGGAAAAATAAACTGTTGCAGAACACTGCATATTGTCCACGGTCTATGTATCAGTCTGCATGTGACTTTGTTGTTCTGTTCAGATTCCAGCTCACTTTCAGGTTGTTGTGCCGCTGAAGAAGCAAAAAGAAAAGTTGCGCTGTGGTGTTGTTGTTGTTGTTGTCAAGAGGCCCTCATCAGAGTCAGTAATTTCATCCAATCTCCCCAAGTTTAGCATCAGAAGTTGCACTTTTCTTATTCTACCAGTTCCAGCCAACGAGGAAGTTTAGCAACAGTGCATCCTGGTCCGTCAGTTAGACCAGTAATATGCAACAGGAACTAGTGTCTGCTCAGTGTAGCTTCACATCAATGAAAAGTGGTGAATTACTGCTGTTGTCATTCATTTCAGGGAGTGTTCACACCCTTCCATCACTTTATTTGAGAAAAGCTCTCTGATAAATCTGTATCATTCACACTGTCCAGTTGTCTCAACACTGGGAATCATAGGTGTCATCCTTCTCCAGTCTGATGGTGAGCATGGGGTCGGGACTCGGCCCGGTGCCCGGGTACAGGTGGTTTTGGTCGGGGCTGTGGATCAGATTATAGCTGAGGTTTTGGTTCTGGTAGCAGTTTTGGGGAGCTTGCTGATTTGAATGTTGGCTGCTGTGGTACATCACTGAATGGTGATGACCGCTGCTGCTGGTCTTCTTGGTTGCCCAGTGGTACCGATGGCAGCACAGAATCACCACCACGGTAACGGTGACCAGCAGCAGGATGGCGCCGACTCCCGCCAGCACATAGTACCAGTAGGCGGGGACAGGCTGTGCCACCACAGTGTCTACTGTGGGCTCCATCCCAGATATGGCACCCCCTGGAGGGCAGGAGGACACATTACTGGTTGGCTCTGTGGAAGAGCGAAGCAGGCATGCAGACCACAGCAGTGCTGTCGACTGTCTAACCGTCACTAAACCCTTCACTCGGGCAGCTATTGTCACATCATGACCAGAACTAGGCACAGCAGGTCTGTCAAGCTTCAGATTTCTGCACATGGTAAATTGTGTGTGAGTCTGTAGTGAGACTGATACTGAACATGGGTGTGGAAGGCATAGTTTAAAATTGTTGGTAACAGTTAGCATGTCTGGCTATAAAACCTGTACAGTAGTAAACAATGTATATGCATATAATTATTGTTGCTGGCTAACATGTACCTTATTGAAAGATCTGCCTGCAAAGGTTGGTGCAAATCTGATGGACTGTCTAGGGACACACTTGATGTGCGGGAATTGAAAAGCTTGACAGGCTTAGCAACACTACGGTGCAATAAATTACTCGAGCAGTGAAATGAAATTATCTCCTAGCTCGTATCAGAATCATCAACTACTATAACATTTTGTATTAACATTAAGCAAAAAAAAACAGCTTTCAGATTTATGTAAATGTCTCGAAACATATTCTACAGCACTTTTCTACTCATAGTATTCTTGGTTGATGCAGACATAACAAGCATTAGCTGCACACCGACACGCAAAGGCTCATGCCATGCGTCCACATTCGACCAGAGAAATGCAAAGCCTTGAATGCAGTGTCTAGCTGATTTCAACAAAGGGTGGGGAGTGTTAAGTGGTTGTATTCAGCAGAACACAGCTACATTTTATCAGGGCGAGATCGCATTGAAAGGAGTCGAGTGGCAAGGAAAAAGAAATGGAGAGAGAGAAAGAGAAGGGGGGAAATTACAGGGGTAGAGAAGGGATAAGAGAGGAGGCATTATTGGAAGAAAGAATGAAGCGAAACAGAGAGGGGTGTTGGAAAGAGAGAGGGGAGAGGGTGTGTAGGAGGGGGAGTGAAGGGAGAGAGCTAATCCTGCCATGATATCTTTAATCCTGCATTAAAGGGTTTGTCTGAAACTTCAATACTCTGTCAACTCACTGTGAAAGAAACCCGATGAGAGACAGGTTGCGGAAGACGCGGAGACAGAGAGAAAGAAGGGAGGGAATGAAATAAAGAATGTGAGGAAGAAAGAAAGGAAGAAAGAAAGAGGAAATGGAGACTGAGAGAGAGGAGAAGAATAATGAAAGAACAGAGGATGGAGAGGTGCAGGGAGAGATACAGACCTCAAAGAAAGCAGCTTAATTTTGTCGGGTCTTTTTTAAAGTAAAGACGTACTCTTTCAGGGTTTAAAATGAGCTTTGATTATGAAGCTGCACTCAGAGTACAGAGAGACTTCCAGTGGATTAAAACAGATGATTTTCAGGGCTGCAGAAAGCACTTTGCTTTTCTGGAGAGGAAAGGGGGAATACTTGAGGGCCATTCCTAAAATGATATTAAAAAAAAGTGTGGTTTTCAAGAAAGTCTGACTTTTTGAATCACTGAATTAGCCTTTTTTCCCCTATTCCAGTGTGTGTGCACATGTGTGTGCTGCTCTGATTGTCTTTCATTCATTTACACAATAGGTACACATCCACACAAACACAAATACACTTTTAAACAATTTAAAGCACACCTTTTGTAAACTTCATATACCATACCTTATATACAAACGTACGTGCAGTAACCATATTCAACCTTAAACAATCACTAAATGTGATTGACATCGACATGGGCACAAATGACCAAATACAAAATATTCCAAAATAGAAAAAAGCAACTGAAAATAAGAAACAAACTGATTCACTACTCCTATTTACTACCCTGTTTAGTGAAATAGAGATAAATAGAGAAAGGGAAGAAGAACAGGAAAAAGTAAAGAGACAGAAGTAGAGAAGCTCCTTATATGGTGACAGAGAGGGAGAGCTTACACCACATGCTGTCAACAAATCAGGATGGAAGCAAGTGTCCTGCTCTCTACACTGAGACGGTCATGACGATTAGACTACGTTTATTTCACTGAGGACCAGAGACAACGACCAGATGGAGACCGTTTCATTCCAAACATTCAACCCCGACCTCACGTGTTGCCCCTTCATTCCTTTTTGATGACGTCACCTACGTCGCCTTGTGTTGAATTTGCTGTGGGTCTTTGCACACAATAGGCGCACTACATGATACAAGATCATACTATATAACCAAGCCCAGCATGCAAGGTATCATGCTGGAACAATGCAAAGGACTCATTCCATCAAGTTGCAGTGTTGTCACTTATAGTTTTCTTCTTTTTTTTAAGTATACACCCTAACTCTTTACAAATTCAGAAATAAGTGTGTTATGTGTATATATATATATAAGAAACCATGTCAAGATTTGTTTTGTGGAAATTGTATAAAAAAGTAGAATAAATGTAGTTGTAGCGGTTTGTAGAATTTAGGATTGGATGATAAAGTGTTATGTACTAACAAGGTTACTCAGGGCCAGTGCAGTGCTGCGAGCTGAGCTTAGCAACAGGCAGGAAGCACAGACATCTAGAAGATACAAATGGAACAGGAAGTGGAACTTACTGTTTATTCCAGGAGTTAAGGCAGGGAAAGGCTCTGGAAAACAGAGAGAAAAAGGAGGAATGTTATTGATGATGGCTACTGACTGGTTCATATGGTAAAGCCATGACATATCAGTCAAAAATGAAAAGGTAGTTTATGTGAGGAGCGCTAACACAACCACTATCGGCCGCTAACACAACCACTATGATATTGCCTCATGCTGTGATAAATGTTGAGATGAATCAGTGTTAAAGAACGAGTTTCAATCACTTGCAGACTGACCTCTGAATCAAATCAAAAGGATCTCAGTATACTGTGACATGATTCTATTATTAAATGTCATGATGCAACTTTATTTGTAATTAGTGTGAATAGAACCACATTGGAATACTGATCAATTTCAAAATTGCAGCACAGTGCACTTTCTTCTTTCTGTGAGAGTCGATAAAGATTTGTCGAGTTCTGGGTTGTTGAGTCTGAAGGTGCATAAATCTTCCTGGATGACAGTTATTGGGAAGACAAAAGGAGGCTGCAGGTTTTGAAGAGAGGCAGAGTGTTGTTCCTGAATATCTCTCTCTCTCTCTCTCTCTCTCAGTCTGTTATTTCTCCTTTTCTCTTTACTTTCTGCTTCATCTGCTTCATCTCTATCCTGTGATTGCTCTTTGTCTTATTGTCTTTCTGTTGTCACCTCACATAAGTTTAGACACAAGGTATTAGTAGCAGCAGACATGCTGAAGAAGAAAAGGGAGGATGGGGACTGATGGAAGATGGGGTGACAAGAGTGAGGGGCAGGGTGAAAACAGGTGGACTGAATAGAAAGTAATAGTGGAGTTAAGTTGAAGGGTCGTGGGAGCAGGAACTGAAATTTACTGCTGTTTATTATGTGCCGGAGGATGGGACATCTATTATGAAGTGCGGGAGATTAAAAAAGAGAGAGAATGGCAGCACAAGAAATAAAGTTGCAGTGAGTCAGTTGAGTGAGTGAGTTGAGAAAAGATGGAGGAAATTGATGATGTGCATGGTGGAATCAAAACACAATGAAAAGAGAATGGTGGACACATGGTGGTATGAAAAATGAAAGACATGTCCTCCCACATAAAAACCCTCACTGCCAATCAGAAGAGAGGGGTGTGACTGTAGCTCCTCTCCAACATTGCAATAGTGGGAAGCACAGAGAAAAAGTGAGAACCCACTGTACACAAAGTCACATGTCACAGTGATGTGTCACATGTAGTGATACTTTTCTACAAAACATAGTCATTAGTTATAGCTATTGACCAAAGACAGTATACAAAGATGCAGTCTACACAGTAGTGGTTGGAGGATGGAGCCGTGGTGGCGAGGTCTCTCTACACAAGCTTGACCAAATCATTTTCAGTTGTTAATCATGGCGTTTGACCCATCAGCATAATTAAAACCTAACTTAACACAATAAATAACACTCCATGATGATATAAACCATCTTTGAGACGAATTGATTTTGCTCCATGTCCCTTCAGTTAACATAGAGGAGGCCTATAGGTGGTTGGCTGCAGTATAGATATTTTGTCTTTACTTTTGGTAAGCTGTCATTTCTTCCATCTTTATGCTGCATATCTACCTATGCTACTGAAACAGAATCTGAATGATGTTCAGACATGGAATGTAAAAGATTTAAAACGTAATCCAGTGCTTAATCTGCATTTTCATGTTAATTAAAAAAACAACCATTATGGTTACAAGTGGAAAGCTATTGGTTTCTTCCTCTTTGGTCAGTTTGTATCTGTGTGTATGTGAATGCAAGAGAGAGGGCACGTCGAGCAACTAATCACAGAATGACCCTTTTTTGTTCTCTGCTCGATCATCCAGAAAGGACTGAGAGGTAAGTGAGAGAGAATGAGAGAGAGGGACACAGAGAAAAAATGCAAGGATTCAAGTAACTGTAGGATGGGGTGGTTAGTGTAGGGGAAAAAAGCTGAAGGAGAGAGAGAGATGGAGATATAATGAAAGATAGATTAGAATCCATGCCCAAAGGCCGTTTGTGGCCTACTTTCTTTTTTAATATATTTTTTCTTTTTTTTTTAGTGCGTAAACGAGAGGCAGTCCCCCCCCCCTTCTCTCTCTTATCCGGTCTCTGGTGAAAATAGGGCATAAATAGCCTGGTGTTAAGAAGAGGATCATAGAGGAGAGAGAGACTGGCTGACATATTAATAAATGGTCGGACAGGTAAGCACGAGGGTTGTGGGACTTACGTGTGCAATGCTCCTCCTCAATGCTGCTGCTCATGTGGATGTTGTCTATTCTGATGTGGCCTCTGGTCGGGTGATCGAAAAAACCTTCAAACACCACCTTGAGAGAAGGAGAGACACATGGACATATTAACTTAACTTCTGTCTTTAAACCACAGGTTTGGTTGATGAACCAAAAGATTCTGAACACCATTTTAACATTTAAAATACATACTTTACCCAAATGTTTACTACAGACTATACAGTCAATCTACGAAAACACTTACTTGATACTCTTTGGGGCTCTGGGGCAGGACGGTGCGGCCCTCCCTCCAGTGTGGCCCCTGGTCTCCCTTAAGTGCCCACAGCAGCGTCTCCTCCTGGTCGCTGTCCCTCAGCAGGACCCTCAGGCTCCCCTGCGCCTCCCCCTGGAGTTGGTAGTAGAAGAGAAGGCAGAGCTGGCCTCGCTCTGGGCCCACCTCGGGGCTAAGCAGCCGCCCTCGCTTGCGCTGGGTGTGGGCGCCGGCATCCATGTGGAGGTAGTTCCCTGAAAAATCTGGAGCAGAGAAGAAGAGACAGCGAGATAGTGTCATTGCATTGCTACTGTAAGATCAGTGATATATTTCAATACTATCCGTTGCAACAAACTAATCAGTGGCCTTTTAATCTCAATTAGCAGATTCTATAAGTGGATATAAAGAATTTGAAGGGACAAGATTTTGAGACCTGAGAATAAAACACCTACAAAAAGTATCACAATTTGTGTTTTGTCTGATGAAACTCCTGTTATAAAAGAAAATAGTCGGATTATAAAAAGTGTACAGTAAACAGAAACATGATTTAGAACATCTGCTGTCTACAGCATAAACCCCAAAATATAGATTGGTGGCCTTTAAACTGATACATCACTCGTCTTATTAGCCCTGGGAGCTAAAATATGAGGCACGTGGTTTTCTAGGTGCTATTTAATTTTTATTCAGTTAATCATTTCCATTTTGATTAATTCTATGGTTTGTGACTGTGCTGCTGAAGAAAGAAGATTCACCCCACACAGGCCCGGCCTACAGGATGATGTAGTAATGCAGGATGTGGTTCTTTAGAGTTTAAGGCATTAGCTTAACCACAAATGTGACTGCCATTTCATCATGGCCGCTAATGGCTGTGGATACAAATGAACATACAGTCCCAATGCCTGTGCATGTATTGAGTATCTGAGTAGGTGTTTGTGTATGTGTGTGCACAAATCCTACCCTCACTCTAAAGAATGGATAGAAAGATGGACAGAGAGCAAAGGAGGTAAAGAGAAGTGAGTGAAAAAGTGGCGAACATAACTTAAAAGAGAAAGAGAGAGCGAGACAGTTGAGGGAGAATGAAGGGCAGCACTATAATGTACCACCCCCCCACCCCAAACAGGACCATAATCATTAGCTTGCTGCTGTGTTTGGCTGTTTGTCTAGTTTGTCTATTACGGCCCGAGAGTAAAAGCTTCGCTGGAGCTGCAAATAGTCTTTTTATCGACAGACAGACACTGTGTGTGACACCTCATAAGGCGAGAGAGCGAAATAAGAGGAAGGATGGAGGGAAGAGGAGAAGAGAAGAGGCAAACATGAAAGATAGCAAATGTGGACAAAGGGTAAAGACTAAAAGAAACAGGAGAAAACGAAGAGATCCATATAGCTACTAATCTATCAATATTTGCCTGTCCTGTTTGTCTGTCACTCCGTCCATCCATTCTTTTAGCCATCCGTTTGTTTTGCTCTCTCTCTCTATAACCTCTCTCTCTCTTTATCTATCTATTTATCTATCTATCTATCCTCCCTGTGCAATAAGACAGAAAACCCTTGGATAGATTTTGCAGCACATCATACTTAATGAATAATGGATTTGGGTTGAGGTAGCTCTGTTTCTTCACTGGGAGGCAATGCAAACGGGGACCTAAATTACCGTTGCTCATTAAGTACAGTTAGAGAAAGTTGCAGTGTTTTTCTGTCTCTCTGCGTTTGATCTTGGCGAATGTACAAAGGGAGGGAATTAATTAACAACTCTCCATGGGAGGGAAAGGCAGGGATGGAGAATTGACTCTGAGGGAGGGAGGGAAAGTGTGTATATGTCTGTGTATGAGTGTGTGTGTGTTACAGTCTGTTTGCATGAGTGTTAATTCGTTTGTAGGCATCTTTGTTTATGTTTATATCCGCATGAGTGTCTGAATTTAGCTGTCAGTCATTCTGTGTGAGTACACTTTGTGTGCATGTACAAATTCCCAAAAATTTTTTGTTCCTTCATTTGTGTGCGTGCATTCTTTCCAATTTTGATTATAGAGGTAAACACTGTGTCTTTATGCAATCAACAGTCTTTGTTTGTCATGTGTCACACTGATTCCTGAAAGTCTTCATTCTTAACTTTTATAATTTTTATGTTCACTGCACAGTACTCTTTGTATCCTCAGTTCTGTCAGTTGTTGTGCTTAGGCTGCTATAAACACATTATATCATTAGTTAAACAATACTATGCAGATATTGTATGTTCAGCATATATATATATATATACAAACGGACATACAAACTGAGGTTAAGTTAATTGGAGACTCTAAATTGAAGAATGTGAGCATGAATGTTTGTTTGTCTGATTTGCTGGTGACATCACCAGGATGAACTCCAACCCTTGCTCAATGGCAGCTGGAATTGGCTCCAGCCCCCCCTGCTACCCTCAAAGGATAAGCAGAATAGAGAATGGATGGATGCATAGATTGTTGTGTATATATATATATATATATATATATATATATATATATATATATATATATAATGTCTATAGGAGACAGAGGTGGTTATTTATCAATAAATCTCCAGGCTACTGCTGGAGATAAAAATACCTACACTCACATGCATACATGTTGGCATTATACCACATGACCGAGCAATAATAATATGCAGAAGCAAAGTGTCACTTCCCACAATCAGAGTACAGACATGTTACAATACTTTCTTATAAATTGCTAAATTAAAATATCTACTGTGTTATTGTCCCGAACATTGTCCTGGACCAATTTTGATTCACATGTAAAAGTTGACTTGGAAGTTGGACGAAGAGACAAAGCTTTAAAAGATGTTTCAACATAGTGAATGACAGCATTCACAACCACACTGTTAATACAGTTTACATGATTAAATGTTAACTTTAAATATAATAAAACATTTCTTGGACATTTGAGAAGTTTTGATTCAGGAATGAAAAAGACCAAAACGATTGTATAATGATACAATTTGATTTGTTCATTTTGTTCCTTTGTTCCTTTTGTGACACCTCATTGATCACATCAAGACAGATGAAAGCAACTGTATAAAATGATATTATGTCGGCTACTTTAATGTTCAATCATCTTTCCATTGCTTATCAATCACTAAACTATTTCGAACAACAACTATTAAGTAGACTAGACTAGAGTTTCCTTCGATGAAAAAATCTCCACAGGGTAGAGAATTCCAGTCCTGCCCTCTCTGAGATCAAAAGAATAACTTATGAGCTGTGTTTGGGTCTTATTTTCTCTTCTGAAAACAGGGGGCTTTCAGTAATGAGGGCTGGGGATTTGATTTGCATTTTGAGACAGCTGACAGGGTGCCGCACTAATGTTGCTGTAGAACAAGACTTAACGTCATGTTGCTGTCTAACGCTCAGACAGGAACGCTGCTAAGTCAATTACACACACTCAGACATGCACTTGCATATGTGAATGTGTTTGCAGGCATGCACACAGCCACGCATACACACACACCATACACTCGTGCAGCAGTGTGATGGAGAGCCTCGCCTTATGTCACAGCCCTGTGTGTCTATGAAGGAGCTGCTCAGTCAACCATAAACTGGCTTCAAGAGATACAGAGAAAACCTTGGTGCATGGCAAGGTCAAATATGTGTATGTGTGTGTGTGTTTAATACATGGGTAGTCCCACCTTGAGTGATGTGCGTAGGTAGGTGTGTGTGTGTGTGTGTGTGTGTGTGTGTGTGTGTGTGTGTGCGTGTGTGTGTGAGTGTGGAGCCTAGGGGAGAGCTTAAGAGCTAAGGCAGCACTTCTGTCAAAGCCATCATCTGACATATCTGACCGCTCTGGGCTACGTGTGTGTGCCTTATGGGTGTGTAACTTGAATACAGTAAGAGAGTGTGTGTGTGTGTGTGTGTGAGAGAGAGAGAGAGAGAGAGAGAGAGCATAGGAAGGTGTGTGTAATGGATAAAACAGTCTTCCGCTGTCTTATTAAAGATAGACAGATGTGGAAAAAGCCAAGTACCTCTGAAGGATACGAGAGGTCAATGAGGAGAGAAAGAGGTGATCACGCTGATGAGGTGAGAGGATGGAGGAGGACAAGGACGTGAAAATACAGAAATAATTTACTGATGTGGGAAAGAAATGGCCATGACTTAGGAGGAAAGATGGAATGTTAAACCCTTTAAAGTACAAACTTTCTCTACAGGGAGAGATGAGAAGATGAAGACTGACAACAGAAAGACGACTGTAGTGCAATAGAGTTAAATACAATGTCGGATAGAGTAGAGGAAAAGAAGAAAGAAAAGCAGCAGACAAGCAGGATGAAGTAAAGTGATCACAGTATACAGGAATGAAGACAAAACAGAGATGAAGTGAAGAGAAATGAGGAGAAAACTCCAAGAACAGACAAAAAAGTTGTAATACAAAAAACAAAAAAAGGATAGAGGAGACCGGAAAAGAGAAAACGGAGGAGATAATAAAGTAACAAACTAGGTTAGGGGAAGGGAAACTGTTAAAGCTAATATTTAGAAAAAAAGTCCAATTAAGTCGCCGTACAGCCTGTGAGCAGATCAGAGTGAAATCCTTGCATCATAGTTGCTGTCAGTGGTTCCTCGCAGCGCTGGGATCTGCTCTGCTCTTAATTAGCTACATACAGGCTCTGGTCAGAGACTACTTTCCCAAACAGACTTTTAGGACCACACTGCTTCAATTGTGTTAATAATGACACACTGTTTTGGGAGTGGAGCAGTCACCATGTGTGGGTAAGGACCGTCAAGTTGGTACATCAAACTGCTTGATGTTGTTAGAATCTAAAGTAAAGGAGCGGACTGACCTGGGATTCTAGATGAAAAATAACCAATCAAAGACTTAACAGGAGGTTTTATGTCTATAAAATAATTCTAGAAATCTGTGCCATCTGTCTGTATGTATGTGGAACAGACTCTGACTCGTTCATCTTATCTGCTTGTATATTGTTAAGCAGCCGAGGAAGTGCAGTGTTGAATATGGTGCGATTTGGACATGCGATATGTTTAATATTAAATAACTTTGATGAATAAACCTTGATAAAACAGACAACCACTGCTCTGTAGCAGCGAGGAGTCAACAACAAAAGTGACGGGAGTTTCACAGTAATTTGAATGAACAGGTTAACGGCTCTTTGTGCAGCAGCAGTGGTGAAGCTTCAGGGTTCTGTGGACTGAGTCCTGCAGTCAGTATTTACTCAATTACTGCAGGTCGCTTTCACAGTTTCAGAGAAAAAGAACTGCAACCAGCATTACCAGAGTGACAGTGTGACAGGTGGTATATAACGCTGGATGTACTGTATAATATATATACATGTATTATTGTATACTCACTGTCTGATCCCAGTGCCAGATCCTGCCTGGTCTCGTGTGTGCCGTGTCCCGTTGAACTGCTGCTGGCTGTGTGCAGGGACCAGCTCACACCTGACTGAGGATCAGCTGACCAGCCGCACAAGCTCTGCTCAAAGTCACAGACAGCCGACAGGGATGGAGTAGTTGCTGTGGGACGAGAAATTGACAAGCACAGATTGTGATTAAAGACATTTTATAGTTTTGGTGTTCTGACTTAAAGTCACGTGTTTTGTTTTTAGTCCTTTAGCACCTCAGCTAATCATCATGATCATCAGACTTCATTAAAGATGCTGCAGTATTTTTAAGGTTTCTCTGCTGCTGAACATGGTTTCTTGTTGGGAACATGTGGTATTGATGGTCACTTGCCAAGAGCTTCAGTCGTTTGTTACAAGACAAAAGGTTATAAAAATATGTACCCTTTGAGCATTGTTATTTCTTCAGGGCTACTCAGTTTCAGAATGTGGTGACTAGCTGGTCAACATTCTAACTTCAGTTGCAAAAAAAGTGGTAGAAACAGAAGCAAAGCAAGCATGAACATTGGTGTTGCTTTCCACTGACAGCTCCCCACAATTACAGGAAGGAAATCTGATGCTCACGTTGAATATGCCACAAAAGCATAAACCCACATAGAGCCCTTTTAAACTACAAAGGTGCAGCAGTGAGGCTGCTTGTCTGACAGTCGCTGACCTATAGCTGTGAAATGATGTTCCCAGAGTGTGTGTGTGTGTGCATGTGTGTGTGTATGAGGAGGCAGAATCCTCCGACTGTGAGAGCTTATTTTTCACTCAAACACAGACTCCTGTGGGGCTCTTGAATCCAACAGACTTCAAAGACCAGAGGCCCTGAGGTGCACAGTGACATCATGAGTTTGACCTCGAGAGTGTGAGAGTGTGTGTAAGTGTGTGTGTGAACGAGAAAAAATATATCTGCATGTGCACCTCCAAGAAACCTGCACAAGTGTGTGTGTGTGTGTGTGTTTGTGTGTGTGTTTACCAGGTCTCATTGCAGCGGTTGTCATTTCCACTCTGGGCACAGTGGGGGTCATTGTGTCAGATACAGTGGTGGTTTCTGTCAACAGAAGAGGTTAGAGTAACAGTTAGAATACCATAGAATAGAATGAGATGTCAATAGGGAGAAGAGTCACACATATCATCATCACATCATCAGAACAGTCTATATTTAGTACAATTACCATGAGCTCATCTTATTTATTCATTTTTAATTTCCAACACAGCCTGGTAAGCAAAGACAACACTGGACTTGGACTAATCCGATCTGAACTCTCCTTTTGAAACTTTCAGTTTGTTACTTCGCTGCTTCAGCGAGCACTGAAAGTGGTAATATCTTAACTGAGCAGCTGTGACTTTGGAGCAAAGGGAGATTGAGATATTACACAGTAACTAATGATGTTTGTACAGACTGTGAATTAAAGCTGAAGTTTGTCACGATCCGGGCAGTGACAGAGTGAGCAGAGGCAGTGAGCTGGCACTCAACACCGTGCCTCACCACTCCGTTCATTCACTGCAGGTTGGCAGGCACGTACACATGCGCACGTGCACGCACACACACACCCACAAACAACGCTATGATGATAGATGCTGGACTTAAACTGACCTTGGTGCACAGCAGCAACCAGTGTATGATAGATAAATCAGAGGTGAGCACACACACACACACACACACACACACACACAC